TTCATGAAAGGTAAGGGCAGCACTGCTAGTAGCAGGATTACCTTTCTGTTTACATTAGCTACTGAGCAGTTTTGCTGAGTGACCTTTACAAAAAACTTACAGTTCAGAGAGTTTGCTTGATGGAGCAATTATGGTTCTCTGCAGGATTTCTTCTTCTCCTCCTTCAAAGACCTTTGCCTTCTCCCTGGTGCTCAGCACCCTCTGGAGCAAAGTCAACTGCTCTCTGGAGGTGTCTCTTTGTCTCCGTAGCCTGCAGGAATCTCTGGCACCTGTGTGGTGGTGAGTCACAGCCACATGTCAGATGGGTTCTCCTTCTCTGATCCCATGGTCGCGAGCTAGGTTTCTTCACTGTAGCTTGAGTGCTTTATCCTAGTCAACTGGCAAGTGAGCCTTCCCTCTGTTCAGTGGAAGATTGACATTTTGTGGGCATAGGTGTGCATTCTTCCATGGGAGCGACAGACACTTCACCACTTCTGCTCTCCTGAAGGTTATGCCTTGTCCAGCAGACACTTTGTCTTTTTTTCCATCAGCTACAAATGTGATTTTCATAAATGAACTATTGTCTACTCCAGAAAATTCAGAGTTGAGTGTTTTGTTTATATTTTCTGTGCTTTTTTGAGGAGTATATCATAGAATCATAGAATCAGCTGGGTTGGAAGGGACCTCTGAGATCATCAAGTCCAACCCTTGATCCACTACTGCTCTGGTTACTAGACCATGGCACTAAGTGCCACATCCAGTCTCATCTTAAAAACCTCCAGGGATGGAGAATCCACCACTTCCCTGGGCAGCCCATTCCAATGTCTGATTACCCCCTCTGTAAAGAAGTTCTTTCCAATATCTAACCTAAACTTCCCCTGGCACAACTTGAGACCATGCCCTCTTGTCTTGCTGATAGTTGCCCGGGAGAAGAGACCAACCCCCACCTGGCTACAACCTCCTTTCAGGGAGTTGTAGAGAGTGATGAGGTCTCCCCTGAGCCTCCTCTTCTCCAGGCTGAACAACCTCAGCTCCCTCAGCCTCTCCTCAGAGGACTTGTGCTCCAGTCCCTTCACCAGCCTTGTTGCTCTTCTCTGGACCTGCTCCAGCACCTCAATCTCCTTCCTGAACGGAGGGGCCCAGAACTGGACACAGTACTCCAGGTGTGGCCTCACCAGTGCTGAGTACAGGGGAAGAATCACTTCCTTGGACCTGCTGGCCACACTGTTCCTGATCCAGGCCAGGATCCATTGGCCTTCTTGGCCACCTGGGCACACTACTGGCTCATGTTCAGCTTCCTGTCAATCCAAATTCCCAGGTCCCTCTCTGTCTGGCTGCTCTCCAGCCACTCTGTCCCCAGCCTGTAGCGCTGCAGGGGGTTGTTGTGGCCAAAGTGTAGGACCCGGCACTTGGCCTTGTTGAACCTCATCCCATTGGAATCAGCCCAACTCTCCAACCTATCCAGGTCCCTCTGCAGAACCCTCCTGCCTTCCAGCTGATCAACACTCCCCCCAGTTTAGTGTCATCTGCAAATTTGCTGATGATGGACTCAATCCCCTCATCTAAATCATCAAGAAAGATATTAAAGAGAACTGGGCCCAACACCGATCCCTGGGGGACACCACTAGTGACCGGCTGCCAACTGGATGCAGCCCCGTTCACCAGCACTCTCTGGGCCCGGCCCTCCAGCCAGTTCCTAACCCAGCACAGAGTGCCCCTGTCCAAGCCGTGGGCTGACAACTTTTTCAGGAGAATGCTGTGGGAGACAGTGACAAAGGCTTTGCTGAAGTCCAGACAGACCACATCCACAGCCTTCCCCTCATCCACCAGGTGGGTCACCTGATCATAAAAGGAGATCAGGTTGGTCAGACAGGACCTGCCCCTCCTAAACCCGTGTTGGCTGGGTCTGATCCCTTGTCCATCCTGAAGGTGCTGTGTGATTGCACTGAGGATGATCTGCTCCATAACCCTGCCAGGCACTGAGGTCAGGCTGACAGGCCTGTAGTTTCCCGGGTCCTCCTTCTGACCCTTTTTGTGGATGGGCGTGACATTTGCCAGCTTCCAATCATCTGGGACCTCCCCAGTGAGCCAGGACTGTTGGTAGATGATGGAGAGAGGCTTGGCGAGCTCTTCCACCAGCTCCCTCATCACCCTTGGGTGGATCCCATCTGGTCCCATAGACTTGTGGGGATCCAAGTGGCTCAGTAGGTCACTAATTGTGTCCTTTTGGATTACAGGGGGGCTGTTCAGATTCTTTCTCTGAACAAGCTCTAGAGGCCAGCTGTCCTCAGGAGAACTACAGGTTCGTAACCATCCTCTGCTACCAAAAATGTCATGGTTTGAGAGCCCCAAAATCCAATTTTGTAGTCCAAGCCCCCTCCCACATCTCAACCCAGGGTGAGATCGGTTTTCCAGACACCACATGAGACTCACAATGGGGGAAGGGATTATATATTACAATGACTGTACAAAATAAATACTACAATACATTATATACAATCTTAGCTATCTCTACCATGACATAAAAGTATTTACAATGGATCAAATCTCTTCTCCCCTCCAAATAAAAGTCCAGGAGGGAAGAAGGAAAGATCCTTTCCACTTTCAGAGCAGCATTCTCTTCAGAGTAGCAGTCTATCTCTCTCTCTCTTCCATGCAACAGCTGTAGCTGGATCTCTGCCAGTACACACAAGGGGGTATCCAAGCCCTCTCGGCCACTCATCTCTAAGTGAGGGTCTTCTCTTCTGTGGGCTGTGTTCACCTGGACAAGGTTGTTTCACCACGGTCATATCAACGAAGCTCAGGTGTCTTCATGACGGTCCGTATCTTCAGGGGAATCAAGCCCCTTTGCAGAGCTCCTGTGCTCTGCCTCAAGCAGTGGGGTGGCCAAGGTCACCCCCTCCGCATTCCTTCTTGGAGCTTTTCAGCTCCTTTCTGCAGTGCTGTAGCACTTCAAGACTCTTTCAAGTAAGAGTTCATCATCTTCCTCTCTCTCGGAGGTCTCAGAGGGGTTTGGGGTTTTGTTTCAGTTCTTACCCCAACTTTCTCTCTCTCTCTCTGTAGAGCCTAATTCTCTCTCTGCTGCTGGCTCTCTCTTGGCTCTCTCTTCCAGGAGTTCTCTCTGTGTTGCTGCATGCCTGTTGTTGCTGCTTGGTCTCTTCTGGCTCTGCCACTTTCTCCATCCACTGCCGTTCTGCCGCTGCTTTTCAGTATCTCTTGCTGTGGCTCACAGTGGAGAAAAATCCCCTGGCTCAGCTACAGACACTTAGCCCAGTCTTACACTGTTCCAAGTCCCTGCAGCCCCCAGCCGGGGCTGGGGGAGGGGCCTCAGCCCCCTGTGGGGCTGGGGGCCCCTTCTCCTCGTGGCCTCAGAACATGGCCACCTCTCTCAACAACTACAACTACTTTTCTCTTCCGGTCTGCTTGTGATATGTTTATATTTTGCAAAAGTGCTCATTGGCTCAAAACTTCAAGGGTCACCACCCCCTGGGGATTTACCATTTTATAACTTCAGGATGAAAACTCTTTCCCCCCACCACACTGTCTTACTGTTGAAAACGGAGACAAAGAAGGTGTTAAATACCTCAGCCTTCTCCTCATCTTTGATAACTATATTCCCGTCCATGTCCAGTAAAGAATGGAGGTTTTCCTTGCCCCTCCTTTTGCTATTGATGTATCTGTAGAAGGACTTTTTGTTATCCTTCACAGAGGTGGCGAGATTCAGTTCAAGTTGCGCCTTCGTCTCTCTAATTTTCTTTCTAAATGACCTAACTATATTCTTAAATTCTTCCTGAGTAGTCAACCCTTTTTTCCATAATCGGTAGGCTCTCTTCTTTACCCTAATTTCTTTCAAAATCTCCCTGTTCAGCCATACTGGTCGTCTTCCCCTCTGGCTCACCTTTCGGCAGACTGGGACAGCCTGCTCCTGTGCTTTCAAAACTTGCTCCTTGAAGTACATCCATCCCTCCTGGACCCCTTTGTTTTCAAGGGTTGTTTCCCAGGGTACCCTAAAAATACTCCCCCTCCCCAGCCACATTATGTCTTCTAATTGCTTTTTCTCCCTGAAACATCGGAGAAAAACAGAATACGGAGAAGTAGCTCAGTTTCAGGAGACTCTGAACAGTTCCTTGAAACATCAGTAAAAGAAAGATTGCAGAAGTTCAGTTCACACTTAGAAGCAACACATCCAAAATCTTTTCAGGGAGCAAGAAGTAGAATTCTTCTAATTGCTTTTGCTAGTCTTTACACTCTTACTTTGAAGACCATTTTCCTTTCTAAAGCTTCCCTGAAAATTGTTTCTCCAGCCTTTTCTTTTAACTGAAAAATTTGATTACAGCATATGATAGTGTATTGATTATACATCATAAAGTTTAAAGCTAGCTTTATGAAACTTTGCTATTTCATTTGGGGAGAGTTCAGGTTTTTTTAAATGTTGAATGTATTCTAAATTACTTTGTTAAATACTGAGAGTGCTTAGGGGATGAAACATATGAGAAGACAGAATCAAACTAATGGATAGACTAGTATATATATATATGTACATATACTATATATCTATATATACTCCTTGTATCATGTATAATGATTCACACTTACGCAAAGCCATTGTGGTGCTATTAAAACACTGACAGTATCTAAGTGTTTAATACAAGGTTTAATTTATACTGTGAAATAAATATTTGTTGGAGACCAGCCCCAGAACCAGCTCAATCTCACACTGGCAAAACAAAGTTAGATCAAAGACTGTTTTTCCTGCTTTGTCAAAAGCATTTAAACACCTCCCCTTCATTGAACTAACCTTGCGATATGCAGTTTTACACAAATTCATCTAAAATATATTTGGCAGATGAAATAGGAGTTTTCTTATGCTTCTACTTCAAAATTTATGCTTGTGCAGTATTTTTACAACTCTGAAAAGTGTTTTTGCTGTAATGAAAAAAATCAGGTTTTACAGCAATAATTTAATTTCTTGTGTGTTTTTACAGCTTTCTTTTTTTTCACTGTGTTCTTTTTTTATGCAGTTTAAAAGATCTTATCCAAAGTGAAGATGTGAAACCCAAGCTTCAGTACATCATGACTAACCCCTCCTTTTCTATGGTAACATGTCAAAGTGAAGACAGTGGAATAACCTGGGAAACCAGCTCGAGCAGATGTTCTACTCCCTGGACCTCAGAAACTAGTACAACTTCTGATCTTTACAGTATGGAAAGCTCACCGGTAGGTTCTCCTCCAGGAAAAGTTATCTTTGTTATGGATGAAGGTAAAATTGTTCGGAAAAGGACACGAAAATCTTCAAACAGGGCGCCAATGGCTACAAGCCGGAAGGGAGGCCAGAGCAATAAAAAACGTGACTCATCTGGAATGCAGAGGCAAGAACCAAGAACTGTTCTAGGAGATCTGCAGGCCTCTGTGTTGAATGTTGAGCAGGTGGAAGTGCAAGACACAGATGAAGAAATGCTGGACAACAAAGAGGATCTAGAGAACATCACAGAAAAGCCGGTAAAACGTGCTCCTATAAGATCAATATTTAGGGAGAGCAGACTGAGAAAAGTTGGTCCGATCCTTGGAGGACCAGTACAAGCTAGAATCCAGCTGTTCAACTCAATTTTTGGAGGGAGTGGTCCACTCCCTGAAACATCGGAGAAAAACAGAATACGGAGAAGTAGCTCAGTTTCAGGAGACTCTGAACAGTTCCTTGAAACATCAGTAAAAGAAAGATTGCAGAAGTTCAGTTCACACTTAGAAGCAACATGTCCAACATCTTTTCAGGGAGCAAGAAGTAGAATTCTTGAAACACCATCAGAGGGAAGAAGGAAGCAAAGAGAACAACTCATAGGACACACAAATCAAAGCTTTTCTTCACCAACATCACCTCTTGAAAAACATCTTACTAAGAAAGATGAAGGTTCATCTGAAAATATTCAACCTATTAAAATGAAAGAAGGAACTTTTCAACACGAGGAAAGAAAAGACAGACAACCTCTTCTGGAGAATACAGATCAGATATCAGGACATTCCCTGAAGTCCTTCCCTCCTAAAGAAGCCAGGAAACAGCTAAGTCATTCACCTGTGGCCAAAACATCAGTTACAGAGCCAACAATCTCCAGGTCGTTAGAGTCTGATGAGAAACAAGTGCCACTTCCCTCCGCTGAAAATACAGACCAATCCATGCTGACAGCGTCAGGTCATCTGGATGAACCAAAAAAGCAGGAATTTCAGCCCAATTCTGCAGATAGAAATACTCAGCATATTTTGCCTACGGTATCCATGTCAGAACATCTTGAGAGGGAAGGACAGAAGTCTTACTTACCTAGTGCTCCATCAGCTAAATCCAAATATTCCACTCTAACTGAAACAGGACAGGAAGATACTATTCCTCAGTCATCAGAAACTGCACAATCTGAGCCTGAAAATGTGCTTTTACCATATTCTGGAGGTGAAACGGAGAAGCAAGAAACTAAATGTCCCTTATCAACAACTGCACTGTCAGAATCTGAGAGTTCAGATCTAATGCATTCTGCTGAAAGAAAAGAGAGTCAAGAGACCCCTCTCTCAAAAACTCAAAATATTCATCTGGAGAACCAAACAAAGTCTGAACAAGACTTTTCCTCATCCCTTCAGGAAACAGATGAGCAGAAAATTAAACAAAATCCACCAATTCCAGAAAATATAGATTCTAAATATTTTAGCATTTCATATCCTATTAATACAGGAACAGAAGAAACTCAGAAAAATTCAGCTATAGATAAAGCAGTAGATTTTGGTCAGTCTGATTTTTCCATTGAAAAAAACAAACCAGCAGAAAGTGCACAAATGGAGATGGAACACCTAGATTTCTCATATTCCAACAAAGAAATTGGGGACTCAGAGACAACACAGATGGAGACAGAGCATCTGGACTTCTCTTCTTCCAAGGGAAAAATAAAGGAATTGGAGAGTGCACAGCTGGAGATGGAGCATCCAGACTTTTCTTTTTCCAGGGAAGAAATGGAGGAACCAGCAAGTGCACAGCTGGAGACAGAACATCCAGATTTCTTATATTCTAGGGGAGACACAGAGGAATCAGAGTGCGCAGTACTGGAAACAGAATATCCAGAATTGCTTTTTTCCACAACAGAAGCAAAGAAATCAGGGAGTTCACAACTGGAGACAAAACATCAAGAATTTTTTTTCAAGGAAGAATCAAAAAAATCAGAGAGTGCACAGCTGGAGATGGAGCATCTAGACTTTTCTTTTTCCAGGGAAGAAATGGAGAAACCAGCAAGCACACAGCTGGAGACAGAACATCCAGATTCATCATATTTCACAGAAGAAATGGAGGAATCAGAGAGTGCACAGCTAGAGGGGGAACATCCAGACTCTTCTTTTTCCAGGGAAGAAATGGAGAAATTGGAGAGTGCACAGCTGGAAACAGAACACCCAGATTTATCATATTGCACAGAAGAAATGGTGGAATCAGAGAGTGCACAGCTCAACATGGGTCATCCAGACTCTTCTTTAACTGAGGAAGTAGTGGAGCAATCAGAAAGTACACAGCTGGAAATGGAACATCAGGAATTTTTAATTTCCAGGCAAGAAACAGAAAAACAAACATCTGATCATTTTGATCTGGAACAGCCAGGATCTTATTTCCCTGAAGAAGGAGAGTATGAAGAAAAAGAAGAGCTTGCTCTGCTACCTTCAGATTTATCATATTTGATGAAGGAAGCGGAGAAAGAAAACACTACAGCACTCCAGTTGGTACATGCAGAGCAAACTGAGTATCTGGAAACAGCACTTTCAGATTTACCATATCCCATGAATAAAACAAAGCAGAAAGAATTGTTGCAAGCAGATCCAGACAATTCTCTTGATGCATATTTCAGTGACAAAGGAAAACAACCACAGCCTGTACAGCAGGATTCACTACATGGAGGTAAACTGGATTCCAGTGACAAGGGAGTACAAGGAGAAACTACTCAGTTTCAGCCAGAGCATCCAATTTGGTCATATCCTACTGGAAAAGAAGAGCAACATAAAACCTCACAAATGAGGGCGGAACAGCCAGAGACAACATACTCTCCTGGCAAAACAGAACAGCATCAACTATTACAACCAAAGATGGAACAAACAGATTCCTCTTACTCCCAGGAAGAAACAGCACAGGAAGCTGTACGAAGAAACTTAGAAGGTCCAGAGCCAATATGTTTCATTAGTGAAGCAGAGCAACATGAAAATGTAGAACTAGTTTTGGAAAACAGAGATTTCTCATTTATCACTGGAAAAGTAATGCAAAAAGGAGTGGAGTCAGGCTTTCTGGAGTCACATTTGACTGACAAAGTAAAGCCCTGGGAAATGACACAAATGGAGCAGGAACAGTCTTTTCCCTCCTTTTCCACTGCTAGTACTCAGCAACAAGAAACACCACCACTGAATGTGTCTAAGCAGGATGCATCGTGTTCTGTTGGCAGAATGGAAAAGGAAGATACAGTACAAAGACAGCTGAAACAGCAGGAAAGAGATGAACAGAAAGCTGTGCTAATGGAAACAGAGCATTCAGATTTGTCGGAAAGCTGGTGTAAAGAGATGACACAGGTCATAGACCAAAGTAATTTGGCACAGCAAGAAATAGCTCAAGCAGGGCTAGTGCACCCATCTTTGCCATATTCTTTCAGTAAACAAATGCAAGAAGAAATGCAAACAGAGCCAGCATATCCAGAACAAACATCTTATGTAAGTATAGAAACACGGGAGGAAACAATGCAACGAAAATCAGAACAACCATTTCTTTCCTGTTTTATTGGCAAAACAGAGCAACAAGAAATAGTACATCCAGAGCTGGAGCAAATGTTTTTGCCATCTTCCAGTGGAAAAGAAGCTCCACTGGAAATGGAAATGAGTTCAGAATATCCAGATTTGTCATATTCCTTTTATGAAACTGAACGAGAAAAAAAATTGAAAAATCCAACCTTACCAGTTCATTCGAAGCGTCAAGAAGCTGAAGCAGTAGTGATGGAACATCCAGATTTTTCATGTGACAGTGGTGAGCCAAAACCAGGCAGCACTGTAGAGCAGGAGTCAGGACATCCAGAGCTCTCATACTCCAAGGGAGAAATACAGCAACAATCAGAACATCTGGATTCACCAGGAACCCTGGGCAAAGGAGCACAAGATGCAAGTATGGAAGTAGAATCTCACTACCCAAATCTCCTGTGTTCTGATGTCCAAAGAAATCAGCAAGAAACTTCACAATTGGGTTCAAAATATTCAGGCAAAGAACAAGAAACTCAAAAGTTTGATTCTAAACATCAAGAATTGCCTAAAGTGGCCAAAAAAAGAGTTTCTCCAGCAACTGCACAAATAGAGTTGAAACATCCAGAAACTGCACCATGGGAAATGAAGCGTTCTGATTTGTTACATTCCACTGATGAGACAAAACAGCAAGAAGCAGCACCATTGGATCAGAAACACAGAAAACTTTCTGTTGGCAGAGAAAAGCAGCAGCAAGCCACAAAGCAGCAGTTAGAACAAGAAAAGTTATCACATACTCCTGGTAAAATGCAGCATTTCAAACATGGCCAAGAGGGCTTGGAACAACCAGATTTATCATTTTCCATCGATAGGCCAGATGATGAAATGATGCCACCAGAGACAGAGCACACTGATGTGATATCTCCTCTGTACAACACGGAGGTGCAACAAAGAGTACAACAAGAAATTGATCAAATTTACCCCTTTGGAAATGTGGAACACAAAATGGTTCAGCCAGAAGTGGAAATTTCACATTTGTCCCCTTCTGAATGTTCAACAGAAGCAAAAATGGCAGAACCAGGGCAGGGGCAGCCTGACTTGCTTTACTCTGTTTTCAAAGTAGAGGGGCTGCAAACACTACAGCCGAAATCTGAGCACCGTAGTCTACCATGTTCCATTGACAAAGTGCAGGAAATGATCCAGCCAGGGTTGGAAGAGCCAGGTGCATTGTATGATCATGACAAAACGGAGCAAATTCCACCTTCACAGCTGGAGCCGGGCCACCCAGACTTGGCATCCCTAGCTGCTGAAGTGGGACAAGAAGGGGTGGAGCACACAGCTGTGGAACGCCCTAATGAGGGACAGTTCACCAGCGGAGCAGAGCATCCACAAGCTGCCAAAGAGAGACAGGGAACTCTGGATTCATCATCTCATAGTGGAAAAGTGGAGCGAAGAGAAATGGTGAAAACAGACCCAAATCATCCTGATTTATCATATTCCTTTGCTAAAGCAAAACCTCAAGAAACTACACAACTGGCATCAGGAAAACCAGTTCTATTATCCTGGCCTGGCAAAACAGAGCAAGGACAGACTACTCAAGAGGAGAAGCCACACTTCTTGCATTCTTACAAAAAAGCTGCACAAGGCGAGAAAGTACAGACAGAATCGAGACATCTAGAGTTATCTCATTCTGTTAGTGAGATAGAACAAGAAACTTTAAACGCAAAATCAAACCATTCAGATTTATCTGCTGGCAGATTAGAAGACCATGAAATCATACAGCCAGAGAAAGAAATAATGGATTTATCATGTTCGATTGGTGGAACACAGCAAACTCAAATGGCTGAAGAGGATTTGGAGTATCCAGATTTATTACATTCCACTGACACAGAACAGCAAGAGAAGATTCAGCCAGAGCAGGAACAAACAGGTGATTTTTCATCATCTCTCAGCAAAGAAGAGCAATGTGAAGATGCAGGAATGCAGGCAAAACACCCTGAGTTTCAGTGCTCTATGGAGAAAAGAGAAGGACGGCAAAATTCCCAAGCAAAATCAGAATATGCAGATTTGTCCTTCTCTGTTGGCACAGCAGAACCTCATAAAACAACACAGCCAGAGTTGAAAGAACAGAGTTTGTTGTATTCTTTTGTAAAAACAAAACCATCACAGGCTGGCTTACCAGAGTCTGAACATTCAGATGTCTTGGATGACATGGGCAAAATACTGCGCGCAAATTTGTCCTCGTCTATTAGTGAAGAAAAACAAAGTGCACAGCTGGAGGTCAAGCAGGAGAGGAGAAGCTATACATTACATCCAGAGGAAACAGTACAACTAAAATTGGAACAACCAATGTTTTCAAGTCCTCATGGCACAGAAGAGGAACCAACTATATCCCCACTGGAAGGGGAATTTCCAGACTTCTATTCCTCTGATAAAACAGAAAAACAGGACACTGCACAAGCAGGGTTCATGCCTTCTGATATTTCACATTACACCAGAAAATCACAGCAGTTGCAACCAGAAGAACCAAAATCAAAACATCCAGATTGGTCATGCTCTCTTGACAAAGCAGAGACTCATGGAACGAAGCCACCAGATTCATGGTACTCCTACAGTGAGTCAGAGCAACCACAGACTGCCCAGCTGGAGCATCCAGAGATACCATATTTCATGGGTGAAATAAAGCAGAGGGATGGGGCCCAACCTGAACTGCCATGTATTAATTTGCAGTACTCTGATGTTGAAACTCAACCAGAAGCACCTGCTGTATCATATCCCTTTGTCAGGGCTGAGGAGCAAGGAACTGCACAACCAGTCTTCAAACTGTCAGATTTATTAAATCCTACTGACAAAGCAGAAAAGAGTGAAATGGCCCTGCTGAGAGCAGGACATTCTGAGAAGCGAGACACTGGGGTTACTTCATCTCTAACTACTCAGCTGGAAACTGAACAACAAGATTTATCATTTTCCACTGAGGAAGCAAAGAGAAAAAAAATTCAACCCTATTCATCTCTTACTGAAAAAACAGTGTCTGTACCTTTGGGTGCCTCACATGCTGCTTCTGAAACAAACCGAGAAGGAAGCCCTAAGTCCTTACCTATAACTGGAGGCCTGTCACCCAAACATTTAGATTTGTCTTACTCCTGCTGTAAAGCAGAGCATTCAGAAACTGTCCAGCCTGAGTCAGGGTCCTTTTTTCCCAGAAAAGAACCAGAGAATACAAAAAGTCTTCTACATTTGCCTGTGGCTGCAGAGTCAGAGGCTGAACATAAAATTTTACCTGAAGCAGAGAGAGAACCGACTCCACATTACTTCCACACAGCTACACAATTGGAATCTGAACAATCAAATTTATCACATTCTACAGATAGAGTAGAAACTCTAGAAAGTCAGGATTACTTGACTGTACCTTCAAAATTGGATTCTGAACCTTCAGTTTCATTTTATTCAGGTGATGAAACATGTCAGCAAGAAATTCTACCTTATTCAAAGCCAGACTCTAAATATTTGGTTCCCACATGGTCCCTTGCTGAACAAGAGAAGCAAAGTATGCAGCCACTTATTACCCAGCCTGTACAGTCAGAGTGTAAACATGTAATTCCACCACATGATGAAAAACAATTGCAAAAAATTCAGCTCAGTTTGCCTGAAACAGCAAGCTTGAAGACAGTGCAGTTAGAGAGTATGTCTCCAGTGCACACAGAAGATCAAGACAACCCAGAATCTTGTTTGCTGGACACAAAATATTTGTCACCAGAGCAGCTAAGAAGCTCCCCTAAATTCACTACTGAGCAAGATGAGCAAGAAATGCAACCTGATGTGCAGACAGTGCCAAGGTCAGTCAGAGTCTGCCACAGGTCTGCCACAGAGTCAGAGGTGACTGCTGTAGCAGACCAGCAAGCAGAGTCAGAGTCATTTGTACTTTTTCATATGTTACCTGGAAAGTCAGAACCTGTAAGGTCAGTATCAGTGGCTTTTACTGATGACGAAGAGAAACAAAATATTCCATCATCTGTTTTTGATGTAGCAGGCATGCTTAGAAAGCAATCTAACATAGTTCCATGTGTTTATACTGAAGGAGAGCATAGACGTGAAATGCAACAACGTTTTGAAGACCAAAAGCATACAACCTTGGAGCATCTGGAAGTTATTTCATCAGATCTTCTTTGTGAAACTGTGACACACAAAAATCAGCATTATTCTGGTGAAAAGGACAGGCTTTCTTCAGCAGAGATGCAGTCTGCTGGCTCTAGTTCCGATGAAAAGCAGAACCCATCTTTTGGGCTAGCTAGCTGGCTGGTAGAAGAGGCGAAAGCTTGCTCAACTAGTCTGCTAAGGGCTGCAGATGTAGACGGGCAAGGAATTCAGTTTTCTCCAAATGAAGCTTCTGATTTTGGGTCAAAACAATTCCCAGCTGAAAGTTGCACAGAACTTACAGTTGATGAGACTATAGAGAAAAAGGGACATACATTTAGAGTTTCTGAATCAGTGTCAAATGAATTTTCTCACAGGAAGTCCTCAGACGCTAGTCCTGGAACACAAAGGTATGATTTACCATCTCGGGTAGGAGATAATCAAGGTCCAGATAACATTGTGGAGTATGAAACTAGTACTGTAAAACCTACAAAAATGGAAGTAATGCAACATCTGGAGATAGGCAAAGTGTCTGAAGTGCCTGAACATTACCTGAGAGGAGAAGAGGAAGAAGTGGAACATGCAAGTGCTGTGGAAGGCAGTCAATGTGCTCTGGGGACTACTGAACAAAAAGATCTATTTAATATAATTTCAGAAGGTTATGAAATACTCAATATTCATGCTCCTACACATGTTTCTTCTGTTGATCAAGAAGAAAGTAAACAGATGCCAGATAAATTAGAATACTTGGAAACAAATCCTTCGTTTAAAAGAAAATTAGTTGACGATGGCCACAGAGCCCTAGCTTCTGGAAGAACCACAGAAATTTCAGAAGGCTCAGTGTGTGGAAAGACTGCAAGCGATGAAATACCAGAATTTGTTAAAAAAGATAATGTTGAGGAAACCGGAGAAACACAACAAGAAAATCCCTTTTTGCCAGAGAACAATAATTATGCAGTGCTGGATCCTAATAATGGTACTGCTGATATGGATTATTTTGAAAAATATACATTGATTGATGACAAATCCCCAATTAAGCCACATTTTGAAAGACCAATTTCATTGTCTCCTGTGACAGAAGATCCCAATGAACCTGTCGAAGAAGGCAAATCTTTTAAAGAAAGCACTGAGGCAGATACTTTGGAAGAGTTTTCCTTACTTGAGGATTTGGATGAAGTCTTTTATGGTACCATGAAAGAAGAAAGCAAAATGCAGTCCTATGCAGATGCGTCAAAACCTTTACCTCTGCAGAAATCAGTTGATTCTAGCAGTAAAAGCATTACAAACATAGAAGATGAACGGAAGTCACCAGGGACCCCACTCTTTGACTCAGAAGAAGGAGTGCTAGAACGATCTCTCTTGTTTCCTACCACTGTTGCTGCAATTAATCCAGAGCTTCTAGAGGAGCCACCTGCTCTATCATTTTTATACAAGGACCTCTATGCAGAAGCAGTAGGAGAAAAGACAAAGGATGAGGGTCCCTCTGATGAGGAAAGTGGTAATTCTAATGCATCTTTCCCTAGTAGGAATTCAGACACAGATGATGGAACTGGAATATATTTTGAAAAGTATATTCTTAAAGATGAAATTCCAAATAAGGCCGTAGGGCCTCAGAAAGATCAGACACCAGAGGATGAGTCCTTCAGTGGAGGAATTTTGAGTTGGAATTCAGAGAACAAGCAGCAGGAGGGATCTGGTTATGTTCAATGTGTCAAAACTGAGGTTCTGCCAGAAACGGGTGTTGTGGAGAGAGACAAAATCCAGGTTGACAGTGACATTCAAGTAACAATTTGTAAACCAATGCATGCCATTCCTTTTGGAAGCAGAACAATCCTTTCAGGTGCAAGGACTGATACCACAGAACAAAGAGAAGAAGAAAATGCACCTGTAGAAACAACTGAGGAGTTGCCAGAGCATTCAAGTCAACAAGCATATAGTCGACTAGTGGATTATCAGGGAGCTACATATCAAGAAGCTGGTAATAAGCAGGAAGAACAGCACAATATAGCAGCAGTTGCTCAAATGGAAAAATACATTCCATTTGTTGAAGACAGTGTAGATGATCAGTATACTCAGGAACATCTTTCCTGTGTCCCTACCATTCAGCAAATAGAGAATCCAGACTTTCAAAGAGAGGAGCAGCACCCTGATATTTATGAAGATCTCGCTGAATCAATGGACTATGATGTGATTACGCAAGAAGAACTTTTGCAAGATGAAATATCATCCCAATTTACACATGAGGAGCTATTATTTGAAGACAGGGACTCTTTTGATCATGCTGTTGGTAGTTATGAATTTGTTAATGAGCCAGAACAAAGAACACTTGTTGAGCTTGAAGATTCAGGTTTTGTGGTGATGTACCCTGAAAACTCTGCAACAAACATTCCTCAAGTTGAGAGTCCCCAAAGAGAAATGAAGAAAGCACAAGTAGACACATACTGTTACCACTGCAAATGCCCGATATCTGCTATTGACAAGCTTTTCGGAGAGCACACAGACCATGAAGTCACAACACTAGATGATGCTTCAACCAAGGTGAAGGTAAGAATTAATTTGGGTAAGAAAAAGAGCTAAGGAGGTTAATTTCTCCAGTCCTCTTGTGTAGTCAATGGAAGAGGCTTTAAAGAGCAGTCTAGAAGCTAAGTTGCAGTATTTATGAAATAAAAACTATTCCTAAACACCTATCGGAGATCTTGAAGGGAGACTATCTTATTAAGGTATTTTCTAGAGTCCTAGGCTTGCTAAGCTGGTTCAGAAGTTTAAATAGCCTTGTTTATATGCAGCTGTTAAGAGACTTTCCAACTTTCAGCCTGTGTAAGTTTGTTCTGGTTTGGATATGTGAGGGAAGAAATGAGAAAAATATTTTTTCTGTTAAAAGAAAACTGAACTAATAGCAGCTCACTTCACTTTTAAAGGTACAGAAGCCTCCATATGTGGACACCACTGTCATCATAAAGTATTCCCTGTCCCGCTTACACGTGTTGATTGCTTGGAGATGTTATACAAAGTACACAGTTTACACTACACAGTTTTGCCGAAATGCAACTTATTTTCTGTTCAATTCATCTTCATCTTCAAGATGGCCCTAAACTGGAAAAGGACTTTTTACAAGGGCACATAGTGACTGGACAAGGGGTAATGGCTTTGAACTGAAAAAAGCAGGTTTAGATTAGACATTAGGAAGAAATTCTTCACTGTGAGAGTGGTGAGGCACAGAAACAGATTGTCCCAAGAAGCTGTGGCTGCCCAATCCCTAGAAGTGTTCAGGGTCAGGTTAGATGGGGCTTTGAGCAACCTGGTCTAGTGGAAAGTGTCCCTGCCCATGGCAGGGGGGGTTAGAGCTAGGCGGTCTTTAAGGCCCCTTCCAACCCAAACCATTCATTGACCTCTGGCCAATATTTTAGCTGTAGCACAGGTAAGAGTTTATCAGGTCCTACTTCTTTGCATTATCTCTAACCTGTACCACTCCAAAAGACAGATAAAATGCCCTCCATTTCAGTAGCCTCATCCTTTGCTATCAATACTGGTGAAAATGCTTTCAGTTTTGTGGAAATTGCAGTTCTGTTTGTGAAAACAGCATACACATGACGTCTCACTTCTCCTGTATCAAACCTGTTCATGTACAAGTATACAGATGTTCCAGCTATTTACTCTCACTTCTCTGAGGGGTGAGGTCTCTTTCTTGGCACATGCTCATCTGACAGAAATACAGATTTTGTGTCATTTCACTGAAATTCCAGAAGGGCTTATATTGATGGTATTTATGTTATCTTTATGTCAAGTCATATGCATAAAAGAGAAATCAAAAGTAGGAAGAGTCCATGTGACAGTTTGAAATATCAAGGTTTACAAACTATCTTCATGGTATGCAGATGTATGATATCTGAACTACTTTTTGTGTATGGCCATTCATGCTTGACTTAGCAGTGATAGTTAGCCACTAGTAAGTAATAAAGTCACAGACCCCAGCCATCCCTCAAATGTACCTGCATTACAACGAGTCAAGTTGCAAGCTGCAAATAAACATCCCATGATATCACTCCCTGGCTGTGGAGCATGGATATGAAGCCAATATTAAATCTGCCCATAGCACAGGCTTAGCTTCACATGATTTCTAACCCTCAGGGCTTCGGTTACTCAGAGACTGCATTTGGATGTTTCTTGTTACTTTTGTATACTTACTGAGAAAACATTAAGATAGGAAAATGCTTGTGGCCTGAATTTTTTGTTGCATGAAAACTGTAAGATCATAGTCTCACAGTAAATGAAATGAGCTATGGATGGCATCTGTCAGATTTTATAGGTTATCTTGACAAACAGAACTTTGTCTCCAAATCTTGGTGATTAGCCCTAAATTTTTATAAAGTGAGCTTTTAATTTTACCGTCCAATGTGACATTTACAATTAATGAAAAGTCACATGTTTGTGTTCTACAGATCTAGCCGTAACATTTTGCCGTAATAAGGAGCTGTTACAAAAGGAAGCTAACATTTCTTTTAGATTTATGCCATCTAATTAAAACTAAGCATTTTTACAAATTATGAATTGCACCTGGGCAGGTGGACAGCTTGCTTTCATAAAAGGTCAAGAAGGACTATGAAAAAGTTCTGAGTTGTCTCTGATACCTGTTGTCCCTTGGACTGCATTTGTTTCCACATCTAATTCAACCAGTGATTTTGATGTATTCTTGTTCATAGGAAATATCTTTAAAATTCTAATTTAAAAAAAAAAAAAAAAGACAACATGATACTGCATAATTTATCACCCTCATAATTACTCTTGTTATATTCCTTTTAATGGGCTTCTTCCTGTGATCTCTCCAGGACCCTCATGAGAGACTAAGTACTCTCACTCTCAGCAAAGCTGCATTGAAATTCATTATGTTCAAAAACTGGTATAGATACTCAGCATCTTGTTGAACTGAATTCCCTTTTTTTGTTTGGAAACAGTTTCTATGACTGTTCCAGTTGCTTTTTCTGTGCTTGCAGCCAGAGTGATACTTGAACTTATTTATCAATTGTTCCAAGGTGGCTCATGGCTAAAGGAAAATATTCACCTAAAATAAGTTCTGTGTAAAAGCTTTGTAAAATAACCTGCCTAAGTTTCAATTTTAAATTTCAGAGTCATTTAAATGAATTGCTGATAGCACTGGAAGAAAAGTCAATTAAGATCGAGGAGTTTGTGAGTGATATTGAATTGCGATTTAACTCAGTTGAGGTAAGTCCAGTGTTTTATCACACTTTCTCTCCCTGTACTTCTAAGATATGTTTGCCTTATTTTATAGCATCATTGCTTTCACCAAAACGGGCTGTTTCTCCAGTTCTCAAATTGATTTCTCCCACTGGAAGGTGTTAACGTTAGAGGAAGAAAAAGACTGCTTTTTTGCACATCATTGCAAAGTGAAATATGTAACTGTCAAGCACTGAAAGAAAAAGTTCCCTTAATTTTGTTTAAGCCTATAAAAAGCTCATACTGTGTCTTTATTTAGAATCCTGTGTGAAGCATATAAATTAGTTGCCCAGTGTCTTAAGTTCTGATTACTCAAGTCCTTAAGCCTTAAGAACTGTATTAATTTCAGTTGTAAGTATGAATTTTTAGCTATTTTGTAGTCAGATTTCCTGTCTCAGTGCTTAAATATGAAAGTTTAGTTTTAAACACTAACAGTAAAAAAAAAAAACCTGTCATTGTTTTAAATGTATTTCTCTAGTGATATTTCTCACAGAGGAGTTTGATTGCAGAAATAAAGTTATCTTATTTTCAGTATACCAGAATGAATCTGTAGATGGGTAATTGAGAATTTCTGTGTATTCATTAAATGTTATGATTTTATTCTGCAGATCGATTTACATCTGTTTTTGTTTTCAGGAAAATTGTAAGAAAAATGCAGACTTATTGGAAAAGCAGAATGAAGAGATGCTTAAGAAAGTGGTAGCACAATATGATGAGAAATCAGAGAACTTTGAGGAAGTGAAGAAGATGAAAATGGAGTACCTGTATGAGCAGATGGTTAATTTCCAGCAAACTGTTGATTCAGCAAAGGAGACTTTGGAGACAACAGTTAAAGAAGTGGATGAAGTGGATGGATTTGTTTTCCTAAACGTAAGTAAAAATGGCTTTCGTGCTGTAGTTTTTATAATGTTAGTTAGGGAAGGAGTTCTGTATCTAGGCTGGCAATGAGTTATTTACCTTTTTTTTTTTTTTTAAGTTAGCGAAATCCTGCTAGCTCAGCTATTCCACTCTGAAACTGCTGGATCATTTGCATTTGTTGTGGGAATTCTCAGAGAGAATTGCAGAGATGATGCACAAGATGAAAACGTGACATGCTATTAAAATGGTTCTCATTTGTTTTATAAAGAGGAGGTAAAAAGACGGTTTGATAATTTTTCTAGAATTAATTATTTACTGAGGAATAAAAAATGTTACAGGATTTAGATATTTTACTGTATAAAAATAAAATGCATATTTTATTTTGTCTAATAGCAACAACAAAGTGATTTTTGAAACGAGAAAAGTATCTGAAGTAGAATTGTTTCTGGATTGTGGGGTTTCTTTGTTTGGTTGTTGTTGTTTTGGGATTTTACAATAAGCAGACGCAGACAGTATTTATGCACTTAAATTGCTTAGGCTGTGGTAAATATTTACTGCTGAAAAGCAGTGAGAGGCTGTGTGGTACTTGGTTGCTGGCTGGGGTGAAACCACAACAATGGGGTTGGCTTAGGGATATGCATTTGAAGTGCTTGTCTATGATGGTGCTTTCTGGGTGTAAAAAACACCTCCAGTGAATCTGCAGGACTGGATCTACCTAGCTCGTACAGTCTACAGTCATTAGTCTTAAACTTTATTCACAGGGTGTTGCAGGTCCTGGGTCCTCCAGTACTGTTCTTGTGCTGCAAGACTTGTCCATAAGTGAGCCATGGTACTTTCTCCTCTACAAAAGTATATATGTTTACACAAGTAAAAATACTCTACAAGTATTAACAATCTTGAAGAGGATGGATTTTCTGGAATAATAAACTGTTATGGAATGAGCATGTAGTTTAGAAGTTGCAGTGAAACTATCCTGGGACGCTAGAAATAAAAAGGTCAAATTACTGTCTAAAGACTGATCCTTCATGCAAAATAAACCACCTTCCAAATGCAAGAACCCAGCCCATATATGCTCTGGCAATTATAGAAACGATGGGCCAATATTTGGCTTTCTTCCCTACTCCAAGCTGACTATGTCCTGTAATCAAGTGAATATTGTAGTAGATTGGCTGTTATGGGATGGGCAAAAAATATGGATTATTTTCCTGAGCTTTGTGAGGTATGGGATCAGTGCTTTGGCAAAAAGATAGTTTTGTAATCTGTAATTTTTTTCTGGGGTGTGAAAATCATTGGATTCCCTGCTCCTTTCTGTTAGTGATAGCAGACAAGAACTTTTTTGTCCCCATGCCAGGAAACATTAGCTCAAGATTCATGGAGCATGGGCTAAACTCTCACTCCAAAAGTAAAAATCTCACCCAGCTTCTAGTAATAAGAAGTTACAAGGCAGATTTTAGCCAGAAATAGAATTTAACTGTTCTTACTATGCGAGTGATTTCTTTCTCTAAAAGCCTTCGTTTAAGAGAGTACTTGACTATGCTCCAGTCTTTAAACCTAGGTTTTGAATACTGACCCCTCAGGCACTTAAAACAAGATTTATACTCTAATACCCTGCTGAGTCAGAGCTTTGAAATGAAATATTCCTAAAGAAATAAATCCCCTGCTAGTGTGAACGCACAGCATTCCAAGCAGCATCAAGTCAATAAAGCCATGTGTATTTTATGTCCAAAGAGGGTAGAAAGACTGTTAGATGATTGGCTTTTCAACATTTTGGTGGTTTTGAAAACTATTAATACTTTTTTTTTCCTCTTCTAGTCATGTAAAGAGTTGAATAAAAGGTATATGAAATATGGGTTAAGTGCACTGTAGTGAGTACTAGGCCTAGCATGCTGGATGTTTCATTTAGTATTTGCAAGCTTTGAAAACACACTGCTAATATTCAGAGCTACTTTTATAAACCTTGCAAATAATGAAATTAAGACAAGAGGTTTTATACTTGTTGCTGTAACTGAGTGGTTTTCAAGTATTTTGCACATGTTCTGTAAGACATTAGTTAAACAAATAGCATTGTAAAACATCAGCTCAATTTTAAATCTCTACCCAGACATTTCTAAACTGATGTTCCTTGTAGTTATTATTATACACACATATACTAAAAACCATTTTAACCCTGGTTCCATCTGTTAGACATCACTGGTATATTCCTTTTTTTCAGTAGTCTGGTTCTGTGTCACTTGGTCTCTGAAAGATTATAATACGAAGCATCACTTAGATGTTGTTGGACTATGCTTCTGAACACAGTTCCAGAAAATAAATGAGATTAAATAGATTTCAAAACATTACTAGGAGACTATGGGCTGATGTTTTCCCATGCCTCTTCACTGGCACTGCCTGATGCAGGGTGTGTCATAGGGCTGGTGCCTCATCACAGCTGCATCACAGTCTACCTGCACATCCCAGTAAATGCATATAATCACAAACAGTTCTCTGTCATGTGGGATTTTCTCAAGGCAGTCATTTTGATGAGTTTCATCCTTAATGAGAAAAATGTTCAATTATAAGCCCAAATTCCTCAAATAAATTTTCCAGGGTGAACTAAAAATATTCAGAGTGGTAGGCTACAGGCTTGTCCTATTAAAGTCCTCAAAACTGCATAGCCCACCCCACCACCCCAATCTTCCCAAAAGTCCTGGGCATTATGCAGTGCGTATCAAACATACCCTTGCCAGTGCTTCCTCAGCCATCGCAGTGGTATGTGTGCTGACACAGACTGGGATATAACAGTGACACCAGGGTTTCAGTGTGCGGTCAAATTACAGCCCCAGGAGAGTGGTTTGAAAAGAATGCGCCAAACACCCCTTCAAGGTTTCCAGTGATCTTTAGAACTAGCACTATAAATTTGGACTCACTTCTTGCAAGTGAAACTGTTTGGCCACATATCTGCATGTAGTTTATTGCAGGAAAAATAAGACAAAACGATTTTCCAAGGCTTTATCTCCACTTGATCTCTATTTGTTTACTTACACAATAAACCTAAAACTTATTCTGTTTTGTGCATGAGCTTGCTGTTACTTTACTTTGATAGTACCTGAATAGCTAAGAAAAGGTTAAGAACAAGCCTATTTAACAATGCATGTTTTTTTAAAGAAAGTGTATTTTATATTTGTTGTGCTTCGTTAAAATTATGCATAATGAACTACTTCAGTGACTGAAAAAAATGCAGGGGAGAAAGATAAAATTCAGTTGCCTTAAAAAAAAATTCTTTCATTTTCTTGGAGCTACTTCTGTCCCAGAATTAAAAATATGTTGGGGTTTTTTTCCTGTAATGAACTCAGCAAATGCAGGCTAATTAAGTGGAATCTATCTTCCCTGTCATGTTTTTTTGACTTGCCACAAGCAGCTGCTTTACGTTACATCTTTGGATTCAGCTGCTGAAGTTAGCTCTAAGGTTTGTAACCTTTAAAGGCACTGCATTAGCAAGCCCAAACCCCTGTGCTCTTGGGAGTCTTTCTGTGAACTTCAAATCTTCATATTCTCATGGATTAAGTGTACACAGACCATGTGTGCTCTGACTGTGCTCCTGATCTGAAATTGCAGCATGGTCTAAAAGTTCAAAAGCAGGGAAACAACTTCTCCATGCATGTTGTCCTCAAGTTCATGGGAAATTTTTACAGAAGCATGTCACATGGTCTTTGCTTCTGGCTTTTGGAAAACTATGCAGTGACACAAATGATTTATGTATGTTTTCTTCCAAATAGGTTACTTTCTGCAATGGATACCACCCTCTCTTTAGAGAAGGTACCCAGTGCTTTTTCACTGTTTGAGCACTATGCAGACAACCCAGGACAAAGCAACCAGCAGTCCTTAAAACGTGTTGCTGGTAAGAATCTCTAAATATCATTTTTACAAAAGCTAACAGTTTGGCAATGCTTTGGACATTTTAAGAATCTAAAAACAGAATCTATTTGAGAAGTATAAATTTGAAAACCATGTAAATAGGAATCAGAATTGAATGTAAAATGAAGTTTAATTATGCACAAGTGTTTGGCTTATAGTAGGTACAGTAAGATGAGCAACAGAGATAGAAGTGCTAAACTGGGGGATTCTTGCATCACTTCAAACATCTGTACCTCAGATTAGCTGAGGGTCTTGATCTGTAAATCTCCCAGGGCTAAAGAAATTGGTCTTCCTTGCAGGCAGGGACAGAAGAAGCAACCGAATGATATCCTGAGCTCTATTCCTCTAAGGGTGGCAGTCCCCCCAAGCCTGGTATGGGGAAGAGGGTATGGGGCTGGTTGATGGCTGAGGTCCCTGAACTTGTGACAAAAGAATGGAGGCACCTGAAATCCCCAAGGGATGTGAAGAGAAAGTGGTTAACTATAGCTGGAAACAGCAATGGCTTGTCAGGGTAGTAATGAAAATTGCACATGATAGTTCATGTCCTGTAAAAAGCTTGTCTGTGTGGACTTTCTGCTCTGTCTGCATATATAAGTGTATTATTTAGATCTGGACAGCAATCAGTGAAGATCTTGTCAGCACCAATTTGTGGATTCATCTTCTTCATTTCTTTTTCAAGGGAACATTTGTTTAGAGCCTTACATCTCGCTGTCATGTTTTGGGGCCTCCCATTCACCATTCACATGCACCACTGCCATCATAGTCACTCCCTGGCTTTTGAAGCGAAGCCTCTTTCTCATGTGTTTGGTCCCTGAGCACTGACCTAGAGCATCAAATTCCCTAAGGTGCTTTGATTCCTGGCTGAATTTTCAGGTGACTAATGGGACATTGGAGAAATGCCACTTCGTGGAGGCTCTCCAGTGTCTAGTAAGGTTGAGTGCACTTAGCAGTGTTTCTGTAGAAAGATTGTCTCTCTTCTCCACACCACTACTTTTATTAGACCTAGAGAAACTTGAATATATCTTAGACCTTAAAATCCTCATCAGATTTGTATGAATTTGGCTATGGCATTGGAAGCTTCTCAGGTGAATTTTATTTGGAATTGAATAGCTTGAATACTTAATTTATCACATACTGGAGACCTTTGTTAGCCACTCTAAGTATTTTATTTGACTGAAGCCATATGATGAAATACATATGAATTTTCTCCAATCCATGTATTTTTCCTTCAGAAAGTATGGTGTTTTACTGAACAATTTCATAAAACCTAATTTTCACCTCTTCAGAAACCTATTTCCTTCAAAATGCCTTCTATTTCCAAATTTTCCATATTCACTAGTGTAAAGCTGTTTTCCCTCAAATTCTTCCTCCTTTCATGTAAGCCATCCCCATTCACAAATGCATTAGCATAAAAAAACCCTAGCAGCATGCTCCTGGGCATATTGGAACCCAGGGTCTACCACAAGAAGAGTGGGAATAATTTAAAAATTTAAAAATTATCATTTCCAAAACCATCTGGTAAGGCAAGGACCTTTGCTGATTGTAAAACTCTTCCAATAGAGTCACAGAGGAATGTAACTGTTCTCCTCTTTCAAGTCCACAAAGACAAGGGAGTGTTATTTCTCATTACATCGGAAAACATTTGAGATTATTATTTTTCTTCCAGGGGCTGTGGGGATTAGTTAGCAAGAAGGAAAACTTCCTTACACCACAGCACTTCAATGAAAACTGAACTGAAGAGAATATTTCCCACTTTTCTGTTGAAAAATATAATTTATTCAAACTTGTGTTGCAAATATTTTTTTATTAAAATACGCTATAAAAGGGACCAGTACTTTGACAACACATAAATGTTCTGTTTGTAAAGAGAATAGTTCAACTTCTTGCTTTGAGACTGCTTCCTTTCAAATTGTTTGGCATTATGCAAAAGGAAATTAAAAATCAAATGTTTCTCAATGTTGCTGAACTGAATTTTGATCTGTCATTCTTTTTCCTTTTTTTTTCAGAACTTTCATTCAGTAAACTAGCCTCGGTTTAGATTTGGCATAATAATAAATCTTGCAACTGTGAGGTTTCTGTGATCATAAATAGTGGTTTCTAGGCAAAATCATGAGGAAAAAAACTGGTTTCCCCATTATGTCCATTGAAAGGAAGTATTTTCCTAAAGACGATAAATTTTTTAATTGCCAACTCTAGTTACAGTCAAAAGACAAAATGAGGATTGTTTTTAGCAATGAGAAGGATAATTTTTTTTTTCAATGGGCAGCAGATGTAATCCTACTGTACTGGTAGCTCTCTGTATAAGTGATAAGGAAACAGCCAGCATCTGCATTTGCCTTGTTCATGCCACAGGGGATCATCATCATTACTGTGGAGATAACTGGAAAGAAAGCAAAAGCTTTCTGCTGAGATTTTAAGAGAATTCATGCAGTATGGAAATTTACTGGGTGAAGAAATAGAACCATGTATTTTCATTCCCTGCAATCATTTTAACAATTAACATCTTTTGGGGCTTTTTGCTTCTTTCTTTCCCCTCTATCTCTTTTAAGACATAATCACAGAGAGGAACAATATCTCATCTGGGGTGGATCTGTGTCAATCAGGAGACAAAGTTTATGTTAAATCTGGAGAGCCTTGAAAGTCTTCGAAGCACTCTTCGTGACGAACAATGCTGGTTGTCCTATGGGGTTCAAGTGCTTTGGTAGAGTTGAGATTCACCTGCACACCAAGGATTCTCGGTCCCTTGGGTCTGTGGAAAAATGACTATGCCAGGAAGGAGTGCTGAGTTGTGCATGCTGTAGGAGTCCACCTCAGGGCAGGGGTTGACCCAAGGCTTCAGGGAGCCTCCTGCTCCCCAGTGCTGTTAGAGTCTTCCTCTGCCTAAAGCACATTCCTGCTGCTGTCAATATCTGTAATATTGACATACTGGATCAATCCCTTTCTAGTGTGCCAGGTCCTTTCCCCTGCCCACATTTCTGGGATCAGTTCATACATCTGTCTCTGGAGGAGGGTGTGGGCACACACTTTATGCTGGGTTTGGGTAATCCCAGTACTAGGACTAGATCTTATTTTGTCCAGACTGTGAGAGAAATGGAAAGCTCTCAGTGTTGACCAGATCCTTTTTTCTGCTCCTAGTTTAGGAGGACCTGTTGTTCTAAAACTGCGCTAGTATTCTATATTTCCTGCTGTACTTGCCCTGTGGAAATAAGCCATCTCAATGAAAATAAGCAGCTGGGTTGCCTCACAAATCTTTAGGTAATGTGGCTGAAAACACAGGGGCATGTATAACAATGGGAAACTTTCCTCTCAGTCCCACAGACACCGAATGTAGTACCCCAGGAGCCAAACTCAGCCACCAGCACTTCCATTGCTGTCTACTGGTCCGTGAATGATGGGGATGCTATCGACTGCTTCCAGGTCTATTGTATGGAGGAGCTGCAAGCCAGCAAAGATGCAGGGGGTGCGTAAAGTCTTGCCTTCTCAATTGCATGAGTTCTTTCTGTCCTGGTCTGGGATAAACGGATGGGGATATGAGCTGCAGGAGTGTGAAAAGGACACAGAAAGAAAAGAGGCTGTGAAGACATCATGCATAGGACTAAAGATGGGCAATGATGTTTCTCTTCTTCCCCTTTGTCCTCCAAAATGCAAGATAAATATCATGGTCTGTAAAGTGAAGGGCAGTTGTTTCCACATGTTGAGGTGCCCTTTTACAAAATGGCTTGACGTCCAGGGAGGATGTGTTCATGTTGCCCCTGGATACTCATGGGGACTGCAGATATGTCTCCCAAGGGGACAGCCTTCATTAGGTTTTCAGGGCCCTGCATGTGCTTCAGAAATATGTATTCACTAAAAAAGCAGCAGGAAAAGGTAATCAGTATTTCCACATATAGATGATTTTTTTCAAAATATTTCAAATGTTAAATGTGAAATTGAATAAAAGGAATTGAAATGTTCGTTCATTAAAAAGCTCAGACTGATCATAAAGTCACCTTTAGCAACCAGGCTCTGCACAAATCCATGCGTGCATGTGTGTGCAGGCTAACAGATGCTAAGGACTTTTTACAATAGCTAATTTATAGCTAAGTCCTATATAGTTCATTATGAGAAATTATTATGTTATAGAGCCTGTTATAAACCAGGGTTGGTAACTGCTGATTGTGCATCCCAAACTTGCAGTCTAGTCCTCAGTAGGACTGTGGGCCATAATCTCCTCTTGCCATCAATGACATTTGTGTACACTCAATTCAAGGGCCCATCAAAAACTTTCTGTCAGAACTGAGTCAGTGTAAGATACGGAGAACTCAGCTACTAATGCTTTCTGGATTTTCTTAATTGACTGTTTTTAATATGTTGGTTGAGAGGCTGAACTGTAAGCCCTACCAGTGCAACACGAGTTGTGATGTTCCATGCTTGTGTGTGTTTCTCTTAGCCCTAGTGGAAGAGTACAGAGTGACAGTGAAAGAGAGTCACTGCATTTTGGAGGACCTGGAGCCAGATCACTGCTACAGTGTGTGGGTCATGGCCGTGAATGGCACAGGCTGTAGCTTACCCAGTGAAAAAGCCATTTTTAAAACAGGTATGTATTTATTTTGGCATTTGATTATTATTTTGACATTTGATTATTACGAGCCTCAGGTTCTCAGACAACTTCTAGTCCATAGTGTTATTGAAACAGAAGAATGCTTCATTCAGCCCATCTGGCAGATAGCAGGCAGCTCACAGTCATTTCCCTTTTGCTAAGACGATAGAGGCATAATTGCTCCTGAGAGGAAACTTGAAGGCATTCAGTTTTGAAGATGTTTCTGGTCTCAGGCCATATGGCTGGGGCACTGGGGCAACACATTATGTATTTCTCTTCAATTGTGTTGCAGTGCTCCAGGGAAGCTCTGGGAAAGCCACCTGCCTATACCCTACTGCTGCTCCTTTTCTTGCACACAGTGGAGAAGATGGCTGTGTGTTTTACCTCTCTGCCATCCTCCTGAAGACATCTATGTTGCATTGATTTAAGTTATTAATTTTGCAAGGGAAGGCCTGATTTACCAAGGTTACATGCTGTGTCTTGCTCAGTGGGACACAAATCTCAAGTGTGGCTGAGAGGCTCTGCTGTTGTTTAAACAGTATAAATTAAGATGAGTAATTAGACAAGTATTTCTTATGAGCTTCACTTGACTGATTCACTTTTCTGAGCATTAATTTCTTTAATAATTTGTGTTGACAAAACTATTGCTTCTTAAATTACGAACAAGGTAAAGCATCCTTGTATCTGAGGCCCTCATGACAGACAATTTTTTCAGTGCTACAGGATAAAAGCATTTATTCCATTCTTGCAGTCACAAATACAGGGAAGGATATTTAACAATTTCATAATGAAAAAAGTCTGAGAGTATTGTTGAAATCACTTGACAGCACCCACAGCTTCAAGCTGTTTGCTTAATTTACTAGACTTCAAATTTGTTGATAATTCTCTTTAATACTTAATTTGTGATTCGTATTTTAAGAAAGTTTATTTTTTTAATAATTCAAAGTGGAAATTCAAATTTTATGGCCTCAACAATGCAATTGTGAATATGGTGTAGACTTTCTGCCCAAATAATGATGAGTTGTTGCTATTAGCTAATAAATTATGATTTTTTAAAAAGGTTTCCACCTCCCTGAAGCCATTATTTTTAAGAACTCTCTTTGTCTTTTGGCATCAGGATCACCATACTTTTTCCCAAAATGGAAGCCTTCTAAAAAAAAGTTAATTTCCATGAGTCTTTAATTGCTTCCTTTGGCCTGTTTCTTTAAGAAAACAAATAAACTAGATAAATATGGGCTTATTAAACACTTTTTCTCAAAGCCAAATTGAACTCCCTCTGGAGTGCACTGAACCCCAGATGGACTTGTGGGGACACTACTGAACACTAACTGATACAAAATTGCTGCATCTCCTCAACACCAAATCTAGAAAGATAAGCACCAGTAATGGAAAACAGTTCTTCAAAAGGAGTCCAGCTGCTTTGATATAAAGAAAAAATATTTCAATTCTTCAAGTAGCCTGATGAACTCAGAAGCAAGAATTTAGAGTTTATTTTTAGTAATTGAGATTAAAAGTTGGCACATAGAAGAAGACAATTTGCTGGTATATGCAGGTATGGGAAAACACACAGCAATACTTGAACAAAGCTGTGACTCTTCCAGGTGTTGGGAATCCTCACAAAGTTTCTCTGCTGGCATTGTACCCGTGGAGGAAACAGTGGGTCTGGAAGTTGTGGGCAATGCAGGGATTGCTGCTGAGGCATTCCCCCAGCACCTCCTGGCTCGTGCTCCTCCACTTCCCAAACTCACAGCTTGTCTTTCCCCACACTGAGGAACATCCTGTTTCCAAGCTGTATTTTCTGTGAGGGAATGATGCTGAAGGCAGGAAGAATCCCTCTACCCTCCAACCTCTCCCCTACAACTGATCTCCTCATGAAGGCTCTTTGCCATCCTAAAGACATAGAAGTGAGCCTATCTTCTGCTGTTGCTCAAAACCCATGTGATTCTCAGGTTATTTGGCTCTTTCTCTCTTATAAAAACACTTAAATGAGTTCTGAAATATTATGATGAAATTAGATATGCATTCCAGCTGCAACTAATTTGTTAAAAAAATCCCAGAAGCACAGTAACATCTTTTCTGTATGCTCATTCCAGTTAATCTTTAGATGGATATTTTCAAATTAAAATTAAAAAAGAGCTTCATGTCTTGTAACATGCTGTTTACACATATATAGATGTGGGTATACATGTGAGTTGCTGAATGCTGGTATTAGGGAATTCAGCTATTAATTTTTCAATCTTTAGGAACGGATGCATTTAGAAACAGATGATAATCAAATATATCTGAGGAGAACAAAGGAACTATTGCTAAGGGAGCTACAAAGAGGTATTAGCAGATGAGACTCTGAACTACTAGCCTTCTGATTTTCACTACCCAGGAAATTGTTACATACTTCTGGGTGTTTTTCTTTCCTTTTCTGCTAACAACAAATTATTTTTCTTAAAAGACAGAATGCATCTAGAATGTTTGTTGCAGTTCTATTAGATTATCTTGTCATAAAATCGTCTAATCTCTACTTTTGTCTTAAGCCTCCTATTTGGAACCTTGTCTTTAAAAGTAAAATGACTTTTTACGAATTTTTTTTTTTAATAATAACCTTTCTTTCAGAATTGGTATTAAGACTGTTTATGTGAGTTTCACAACAGGTTGTAAGGTGTTTTAAATTACTATTTCCCAGAAAGTGAAAAAACAAGAGAATACAACTGATCCATTCTCATCTCACAATGTTGAATGTGCAATTTCACACAATAGCTTTTGATTACTTGCATCTAGTGCACTATTTTACATTCCATTTTCTGTCTTGCAGTTGGCCCTGTAGTTCTTAAACTGAGTCTCTAAAAAAGAGAAATTACAGGACCAAATTTTAGCTTTTCAAAAATAACCAAGACACAACTAAACAGAAAGTCAGCATTTCCCTGCAGCAGCACATTTTTTTCTGATGCAACTCATGCAGGCACTGCTGAGGACAGGATTGAGGTGATGCAGGGGGAGCCGTAGGCAGTGCTGCCTCTGTGCTCTGCTTCTTGGAGATTGGTAGAAATGAGGAAAACGTGCTTAAGGAAAGGCATAAAATTTAAACTGCCTTTCTAACGATGTGTAGAAATGCACAGATCTTCACAGAGACTTTCCCAGCATGTTTATATTTTTTACCTGTAATACCCCTCTGCTATTGACACACGAGCAAAAGATGGATGGGAAAATGGATGGGAAAAATTAACTACTAACTATCCTGTGGGTTTTCAAGGAGCTGACTCTTGCTTTCCCTTGCAAACATTCCCCTCCAGCCGCTGGCACCCTCTTCGGAGTACAGCTAACGTGTTCTTGTGTCCCCCAGCACCCGCTGTCCCCACCATCAAGGCCGAGGACTGCACTGTGTGTTGGGACACGGCCACTGTCCGCTGGCGTGCCTGCTCCGTATCAGCGGAGTCCTTCATCCTGGAGTACTGCCGGCAGCACTCGCCGGAAGGAGAAGGTCTCAGGTCAGTGCCGCGGTCACAAAAGCCCCTTGGTCAGATTAGGCAGCCGCTGATGACCGTCCCCCAGGCCGCGGTTCGTTACGCAAGAGATTATTCTGCCTTCCGCCACGCGAGGAAGAAATCTGCTTCTGTGTGCTGAGGAATTTAAGGGACAGACGCTAATCCGTGAGATTAGGCTGAGACACAAAATACTTCCTTTTTATTCCGCTTAACTGGACAATCCCTTTCAGTTGGGGCCAAAACCCCGGAGATGTTGTGCTGTTTGCAATCAACTAGAAATTTTAGGGCTATGCTGGCCAGGGAAGCAATCGCTGACCTGCAGCTGCTGGAGCCCTGGGGCAGGGCAGAGGAGGGCAGCTAAGCTCCATGGAGAGTCGTGTGATGGGGTAGCCTGGACCAGTTTGCTCTCTGCTTTGTGGAGAACAACATAGGAGTCACCTCTGGGCTTAGCAAGGGTGATACAGATGTCCCAGTAATATTGGTGACCCATCTGTGCTGTCTGGATGTGCATGCAGATGCCCCTCAAAGCACAGATGAATTGTCAAAGCACAAATTGTCAAATCTCAAAGCACAGTCCTGCCAGGCTGTGCAGGCGTGCCACAGGGATCTGAGAGAAGCTTTGAAATTCGAGGTAGTGTCTGTTTATGCCAGACTCTCTCTGGTTTCTCCAGCCTGTGCTGCATAGAGGAGAGGGTGAGGAGGGATGTAGGCACCACTGAGCCATGAAATAGTGCACTGTTAAAATGCAAAGAAAATTATCCTCGAATCATAGAATCCTAGAATAGCCTGGGTCAGAAGGGACCTTAAAGATCATAAAGTTCCAACCCGTCTGCTGCGGGCAGGGAAATATATTATTGTCTGTATGTTCCTGGGGCCTGGGGTTTTTTGTTTGTTTGCTTTCTTAAAACAGTGACAATATTCCAGGAAACTTCAGTTGCAAAGGTCTGAGAAGTTTTGGGAAGGGGAGAGGGGTGACTGGCCACAGGACCCTGTGGAAGAGCCTCAGCTCAGCTGAGCTTGTCTTCACTTCCTGAGGAGCCTGAGTAAGGTCTTCACCTAGGGGCTAATTCATGTGGCCATTATGGAGATGTGGCAGAGAGGGAAGAGCCCCAGTCCCTGCAGTCAAAATTACTTAGCTGGACTGAAGAGTTTACAGGTTTGTAGTAATGTACTACAGTGAAATTGTGCATGCCTTACGCCTTACAAAAAGTAGGCTGAAAACTGAAATAAAATTTCTCTGTGGGTAGAAGACTTCTTTTCATGCAGTACCAGTGTGCTGCCTTAATGCAACCAAGAAGAAGTCTTCTCCAGCTCTCCTGCCTCTTGGAGACCAGCTGTGACCTACTCTGCTTCATACATATTTCATGAGGCCATCAGGTTCCTGTCAGCCTGCTGAAGTTGCTGTTGTTCAGGGGTCACAGAATCACAGAATATGCTGAGTTGGAAGGGACCAACAAGCGTTATCAAGTCCAACTCCTGCTTCTGAACAGAACCATCCCCAAGAGTCACAACATGTGCCTGACAGTATCATCCAAACACTTCTTGAACTCTTTCAGGCTTGGTGCTGTGACCACTTCCCTGGGGAGCCTGTTCCAGTGGCCAACCACCCTCTGGGTGAAGAATCTTTTTCTAATGTCTAACCTAAACCTCTCTTGACAAAACTTTAGGCCATTCCCTTGGATTCTGTCACTGGTCACCACAGAGAAGATATCAGTGCCTGCCCCTCTTCCTCTCACAAGGAAGTTGTAGATTACCATGGGTCTCCCTTCAGTCTCCTCCTCTTCAGTCTGAACACACTAAGTGACCTCAGCTGCTCCTCATACGGCTTCCCCTCAAGGCCCTTCACCATATTCGTTGCCCTCCTTTGAACACTCTCTGAGAGCTTAATATCTTTCCCATATTGTGGTGCCCAAAACTGCACACAATACTCAAGGTGAGGCCGCCCCCGTGCAGAGCAGAGCAGGACAATCCCCTCCCTCGACCAGCTGGCGATGCTTTGCCTGATGCCCCCCAGGACATGGTTGGCCCTCCTGGCTGCCAGGGCACTGCTGACTCATATTCAACTTGCCATTGACCAAAACCCCCAGGTCCCTTTCCATGGCACTACTTTCCAGCATCTCATTCCCCAGTCTGTACGTACATCTAGGGTTGCCCCACCCAACGTGCAAAATCCAACCCCTTCCCTTGTTGAACTTCATATGGTTTGTGATTGCCCAGTCCTCTAATTTGTCGAGGTCTCTCTGCAGGGCCTCCCTGTCTTTGAGAGAGTCAACAACTCCTCCCAGTTTTGTGTCATCTGCAAACATGCTTAGTATCCCTTCCAGTCCTGTGTCCAAGTCACTTAGGAAGATGTTGAAGAGAACAGGGCCTACGAAAATGTAACTACTCCCAAAACCTGTGCTGTTTGTTCGCCCTCAAGTTTCTGCGCTGTTAACTGAAACTGACTCTTTTTCTCAAAGAATCAGAGAGTGTGCTGATTCCTGTAATCCATGAGCAAGGTGTTGATAACACCAAGCAGTTCGCGTGATGATAACTGTGACAAAAAGCTTCCAGGACTGACCCATTCACTTTCTCAAGTGACCTTATGCAAAATCTAACATGTTTATAATTATACTGATTCACATTTGACTTTTTGGCCTCCCTGTGGGCAGAAGCTGGCCTTTTACTGTGACAGGTGTGAAAACTTCCCACAGGACAAAATCACAATTTTTCTCAGAATTGCTGTAGTTTAAAATTCTCTATTTACATAAGGGCTCTGACCTCTTTTTGCATGTCAAAGCTAATGCTTTGCCACTTATTTTTCCTGAAAACTATTCATCTCTTTCCTTTTCTGAAATCAATTCCCTGAGAATAACATGGAAATTTTCTGTAATGTCACAGCTTGTGTCAGTGATGGAGAATTTTTTAAGATTTCTGTTTAAGATTTTGTATAAAACTGAGGAAAAAAGAACTTACTGGTGGATGGAGCACACTGCCTGTATCACTCCTATCCAAAGCCCCTAATGTGAAACTGAGGTCTAGAAATCAATCAACTTGGCTAGAAGCCAATATCAGGTGAAATAAAACAATCTCTATGCACATCCAGAATTTTGGCCTGAAATGCTGTCATTTCTTCTGTCTTCTTTCCTTGAAATCTTGGAGTTAGTCCTTCACAGATTTCCTGAGCAATATTCATTTTGGGGAGTAGCCAAATGTGGAGCCCCTTCACAGACAGCCTGTGCCTTTTGTGCTTGAGGCAGCCCTGTAGCTAAGCAATTTCCTAGTTCCTGGGTGGAAGTTCAAACACATTTCTCAGCAACCCTGGAAGGTTCATACAGCTGCTGCTGGAAGCACAGCTTGAAAGCAGAGGTCAGGGAATAACATCCAAGAGAAGTCCTGGAGAAAGCAGCATAGTCCCATCCCACAGTGCTGCTTTCAGAGGTATCACTTTGGGAGCTCAACCAAGGTAAAGGAGCCTGCCAAGGGAGCAGGCAGGGGAAAATGTCCCCACTGAACAGCTGGAGACATGTGTGGAGTCCCTGATCTAAGCCAGCCCCCTGTAACCTTCAGTATGCCACAGAACCACAGGATGCTTGAGGTTGGAAGGGACCTTTGCAGATCACCTGGAGCAACACCCCTGATCAAGCAGGGCCACTCAGAGCCAGTTGTTCAGAAGGCTTTTGAACATCTCAGAAGAGGTCCTTGGAGCAATCCCAGCTCCCCAGGGAGAGAATTTTAAGCACATCTGGCAATGAAATTTCACTAAAGTTTCCTTTCAAATATTGTGAAAAAAATACCACCCAACCCCTTCAAACAAACACATGCACACACACACAAAACCCCGAACCAATAAAAACAAACAAACAAAACCCCAAAGCAAACCAAACCAACCAAACAACTCTCCCACACCAAACAAACAAAACCCCACCCAAATCTATGTTTTTCCTTCTCCATGCTTTCTCCTTGCCAGCTTGCCATCAGAGGGACATACTTTCATATAAAATCATCTTAAATCTTTGGCAACAATGAATCCCTGGCCTGCTGCTGTGGTTTTAAAGCTCCCTCCCAGGTTGAATCTTTTTCCAGAATCTTTATGAGTGAGGTTTTGAAATCTTTCTTTCAGTTTCCAGAGCTCTGCTATTTTCTTATTGTTCATCCTCTTTGTATTGAGAAGTCAATGGAGTTGTGGGCGGAAGATGGAAAGCTGTGAGAAATGTAGTCCAGGGATATGTGGGCTGTTCAGATGGAAAGCTTGTATCATATCATGAAAAATCTATAAGACTCAGGGAGGCAGAAATTAGTGCAGTATATGGTGGGCTTGTAGAAGTGGAAGTGCCTGAGTGTCTTCCTCTCCAATAATGCAAGACTGGCATTTCTAGCAACTGAAAATTTCAGTCTCCTCGTGGAGCAGGTCTAATGTTGGAACAAGAGGAACAAGCCTCCCTCCTCTTGCATTGCCCCCATGATTGTCCTGCTAGCTCAGAAAACAGGGTATGGGAAATACAGAATCTTTCTTTCCTCTGGCTCTACCATCACAGATAGCAGCAAGTACCGTTGCCAGGTGGTGTTTTGGTGACCTAAACCCAAAACAGCCAGAGCTGGAACAGAGGAAGGGAGAGGAAGCATATGGAACAGCTGGGAGCCAACTCAGGGCTATTTGCTCATCATTTTTAAATTCGAGAGCTTTTTTTCCACTCATGGTGCACCCCTGTTCTTTGCTTCTACATGTATCTTGAGAAGCTTGCATACTTTCAGCTCTAGTTCCACCTCAGTGGTACCAGCACAGCTCTGGAGGTATTGTTTCAGTGGGATCTTGGTGGTGGAAACGATAATTACAGCACAGAGGGTGTGGTGAATCCCTGCAAGGCATATAATTTGCTGGGTTCATGCAAAAAAATCCCCCTAGATGTTGTTTCCTTGAAATAAATGAGGATACTGATGAGAGAAATGTGCATCAAAACACAGCATCAGATTTCTCTAAAATCAGGGAAATCACAGATTTAACAGACAGCTGCTACTACAGCAATTAAGAGGTGAAGAAACATGCAATTTTTGTTTTGCTTTGAATAGCACATACCTGAAATTTGGAGATTGTATTTTCAGATTTAGAGATTCCTCTTATAATGAGAGGGATTGAGAGGAGATATTTAAAATATATGGCTTCAAATATTTCTTAAATTTCTCTGCACTATTTTTTGTAGTGAGAAACTGAGAGGGCAGTGCAAATAAGATAACATATAATCTAAAGGCTAGGATACCTCATGGTTTGATAATAACATTATTGCATTTCCAATCTTCTATAAAGTGGGCAGATGTAGATAAAGTAGAAAATAGCTGACATTAGAAATGTTGTAGGTGGATTTCTTTTTCTTTCAAAATTACAGTTTAGTGCTTAAGGTGAGCTTGAGTAAGGTCTAGCTACAGTGTTTGTTAGAAGAACTCAAAAATGAAACAGGCTTCCACCAACACTACCAGGATGCATTTTCCCTCACCTTCTCCTACACATAACCTGGATGCTGTAAGCTAACCACTAATCATACCCTCTCCTCATCCTTTTTTTTTTTCAGGGTTAACCTGAAGCATGACAAACTACAGTGATTGCTGGGGAGCCCTCAGTATTCACTCCTCCAATTCTCTACCCTCTAGACAAGGCAATAGATAGCAAGACCTATTTCTTCTTTGCATGCAGCTTCTTTGAGCTTGGACCTGGCTCAGAATGTATCGAAAGAAATTCCTTTTTGTCAACATATTCTGTTTCATTATTTGGCAGCAGCAGGACTGTTTTTAAGCCTTAATCGTAGCAAAAATTGATGAGCTCTTATTCTTAGGCAGCTTAAAGCTTGCTGAAATAGATTACCAAGCAGAGAATGCTATTTGAAAATCTGATCACTGTTTTACAGACCAGATCTGCTTAAAGTCATGATTTTTCTGTCTCAGTCATTATTACAAACTAAAAGAGGCATTCTATTGGTCTCTGATGTAAACATGAATTCAAATTCCTCTTTGAATAATTTCATATTTGTAAGAGACCCAAGTCTGAACTTTGATGGTTGACCCTATTCGTCAAGTGGTTGGATCCAAAATGTTCTCTAAATACCAAGTCTCTGGGATCCAGTTCCAGAATATGAATACCCCATGTCTATTCTTTACACAAGAACATAACTGTCTACTTGAATTTAGAATTTTGCATTTTGTTAATTAATCATCAGATAAATAGCACGTAATGAAAAAGATCTAGTTTCTTTGGAAGGATACTGACTTACAAGTCATTTTTTAGAAGACAGAAGAAGGAGCCATTTACAGGGCATTACTCTGCTGTACTACATATTGCCACAAACAGCTTTCGAGGAATAGCTTAGTGTGTCATCCCTTCATCTCACTTGTAAGTATTTGCCCAAGACTCCTTTCTGGTGGTTTGTCCTTCAGATTCGCATCAAAGATGTCACTATGGTCCTTTTAAGGATTGGGTGAGTCTTGCCTAGAAAGTGTGGGCAAATTTCTTCAAAGCTTAGGCGCCTATTTCTTTTCCCCTACTTCTGCTCTATCCTGTTTTTCTTTTCTCTCACTTATTTCGTATTTGCCTCTCTTCTCAGTTCCCATCTTATTCTCTTGCCCTCTATAATCAGATGAGCCTTTTTCCTCTTCCAAGTCTAAAGAGCTCGGGTTCCTCATCAGGCAATTTATCAGGTTACATCTCTTCCCTAAACCTTCTAGTAAGAACCTACCAGTCTGCTGGACTCCCAGCGCCTTGCTGAAGTGCTCCTGTGGTCAGGGCTTTAGAGAGTCACGAGTGTGAAGCGAACCATGCAATTTCTACCATGTTTGCAACCACTTCTCTTTACTGCCTCAGTTCCAGCATTAATATAACACTTTCCCCAAAGGTAACATAGTCCTGTGCTGATCACACAGGAGCCCTGAAAGCCCTGGAATTCTTTTAATTTGAAAGAATATATCACAGGAGCACCTAGTGCTTTTTTTGATGCTTTCAACCACTTTTAGTGACGATTGACAGTGTAAAATACCTGTTACAGACTAATAAGTATGATGCACCAGACTTTTCCCAATATGTCATCCTCCTAGAAAGAGATCTGTGTGGTGTTAGCAGGAAATTGGTGCGTTAACAGCTGTGAGATTTTACATTGAGGTGACAAATGCAGCAGAAGCAGGCATATGAAAAATCCCAAAGGATGAGCACTGATTATACTTCAGTTTGTACTGCCCTCTGGTGGGATATATGGGGAAAAACAGCAATTCCAAATGAATAGCAGCGATTCGGTCTGACTGATGACTCGCCTGCCTTACCTCTTCTGGGGTCACAAAAATTTGCGCTGGGAAAGGTAACTTGTTTAATCCAGCTTCTCACGGAGGCGTTGTTTGCGGAGGGCAGACCATCGTGGGCTCCACTCTCAAAGCTAACGTGGAAGGGAAAGTGCCTTGCACACTCTCCAAAGGCAGGTCTCCAGTCTGTGAATGTAAATACTTGCCTTGAAAATTTCTAAAACCATTTTTGGAGGAAATTAGGTACTTTATACACGGTCTTTACCTGCAAGCATACAATGCAGTGCGTATATACTGTCTGGCTTGGCTCTTACCATATGAGACAAAAATGAGGAAAATTAAGATCCAGTGCATGAGAATTTGTTAAGCCAATCTTTCATATTCCTGACAAAACAGAAAATATAATTGGCATCTTTCTAGCCATCCAAAATCCTTTCACTGGTTCTTCAAAGCACCTGTGAAGCAGATTGAGTGGGTGCTGACTTTCGTTTTCCAGTAATATGTGAAGACACCAATGGTTTAGGATGTGAGGTCTGGAGTTTTTAAGGCACCACGATGGGGAGACTTAGTCAAAGCTGGACGCTGTACGAAGGCAACTCCTCTGCTGCTCCCTTCTACAAAACTGCCCAGTTGAGTGCACAGCAGCATGAGGGAGACAGCACCCAGATTTAGCTGGTGAAGGATTTGTGAGCAAGGAGTTCATAATAAGAAAGTGAATCACTATTTTATGATAATTCTATAATGACGTACATGATCTCTCTGTGGCCTCAGATAAGGGTAGCCATTCTTTCGGACTTGCAGTGTATGCCCAGACAGTAAAAACACAAGTGCATTCATTGTCATGCAACTGAATTAGTTAAAGAGTGTGTTTTCTCTTCAGAAACTTCTTCATTTTGTAAAGCAGACTTTTCACAAGAGGCAGATGAGGATTTGACTCTGTGCTGCTTGAAATTTATGTGATGATTATGCTGCCAAACAAACATAAAGTGATCATTACACCAGATGATTGCACTGAGTGAGAAGGTGGTACAGAAAGGGCCTGAAAATTTGTCAAACAGAGTGAGAACAATCCCTCAAGTTACACATTGAAGCTCCTACATAACCCAGTTGTTTGAAAAAACAGTGTTCACTTTTCTGATTTGGAGTTTCTGTGTGGTGCCTGATGTTTCAGTAGTCAACAATACTGTTAGGAAGCTTAGCTGTTTGCTTATATTAATCTTTCCTAGTTTGGGTAAGTGCATACCTTTTCATGTATGTTCAAAATTTGCAGATCTTTTGCTGGTATAAAGAAACCTGAACTGAAAGTACCCCTGGAGCCCAATGTGAACTATTTCTTCTACTTGAGGGCTGTCAACTCATTCGGGACAAGTGAACAAAGTGAAGCAGCTCTCATCTCAACTAAAGGTAGATCATAATTTCCTGATGTCAAAACAACGGGATGGAGGGGCAAAGCAGTCAAACATTTTTCTTTGAAAATCATATCTGAAGTTCCCAATTTGGAAGTGAACAAGTTATTCAATTTTTTATTTCAATAACTCAAACATATATCAGGTTTTTTCTGCTTAAAATTAGCATAATCAGGACTACTTCACTTGAATTTTATATATTTATGTCAGTGTAAAGCTGGTGTGACCTCAGAAACAAAAATATTGAATTCTGTCAGATATGAAGTGATTAAATATTTTTCAGGCAATCTCGTGTCACGAGTCTGACAGAACACATTCAGATAAAAGTTCCAATGACATTAAAAAAACCACTTTCACAATGAAAACCTTATGGACTTTGAGTTTCAGTGATGAGGAAGTATGCAAAGCAGCCTTAAAATGTAATAGATGATTTAAACTCTAAGATTCCCAGATAAATAATATATTGTTCTTCCAAATCAGCCTCAAAATTAAAATTTGCTATTTTGAAAAAACAAATTATTGAAAATTATTCAACCTTTTTAAATACTGAAGACCTCTTTATCACCTAGCTGCATTTCTGAATGTTAGACTTCTGTCCCAAGCAGAGCTTGGAAGACTCCTTGCATTTGTACCCAATTTTCTGTCACTCCTACCTGCCAGTAGACACAACCGTGTCCAGCTAAGGTAGCAGTTATTGTTGCTTAACATTTTATGATTTGTCTCATGTTAAAGTAGCCAGCTTCTCATATATAGTGTTTCGTTGTCATCAATTGTACCAGGAACTCGGTTTCGCCTCCTGAGTGACACAGCCCATCCCGCTTTGCAAATCTCCTCCAATGCAACGGTGATCCACCTTCCTGAGAAAACTAAACTCACTGGGTAAGCAGCAGCATAATGAGTGTGACTACTCTCTGAGGTTTAGGATAGATCCCTCACTTTTATTTTTGCCTACAGGCAGCTTTCACATGATACCAATTGTGTAGAAGAACTGAATCACTGACATGCAGCCTCTGGACTTTGTGCGAACTACCCTCTCCCCCTTTCAAGCATTGCAACATTTCAATAAAGACAGTGCATTGATGTAGGTGCTGGGAAGAGTTCAGTGCCACACTCCGGTATGGCCAGGAAGTCTAAGGCAGTGGTATCTCTGGCACTGCTCGATTTGCTTCAGCCCATGGTCAATGCTTAATCCATCAGAGCACTTCAGTCTCAAAGCAATTTTTTGCTGCCCTGAAAAGATCAGATTTGTGGGCTTATTTTTTAATATATTGTGGATAGAAGTAATCCATCTTGCATACTTTGCTCCTCTCCTGAGGGCATTATTGGTAATGTTTTCCAAAGTATTTGTGGCTTCAGAGAACTAGGAAGTGCTTTTGGGATATGTTTAGCATGGTTGTACCAGGCTAGCTGTATGCATTGTGAACCGGGGGATTTTTTGACATATTGACATCAGTCCTGTCATAAGCACAGGTCCACTTGTAAAAGTTGTGGCATACTGATACGGCTTCTTGAAAGGTGATGAGGATTTAGTGGTTTAAGCATATTTTTTACTGCTACAACTGAATGTACACAAGATGTTTGTCACTATGACTACTCAACTATGCTTTCTAGTTTGAACAAGCCTTCAAAATCTAATATCTTTTAGATGAGACCATCTCAGTGCAAAGATGAAAGACTCTCGGTGAAAACATTTAAATCTTTGATAAAACCCTGCAGCTGGAACAGCAGAGTGCAATTCATTAGTAATTTTAGATGATGCTTCATGATGTGACTGAAAGAACTATCACAATATGGTTCATCTACCACCACACACATTTTACTGCATGTTTCTTTCACAAACAGGTTTCCTTCAGTCCTGGGTGAACTGCTACCTGCTCAAGGATGTCATTACTGGGAAATTGTTGTCTCTGCCTGCAGAAGCTACAGGATTGGGATTTGCTATGAGTCAATAACAGAGAGCAGTGTCCTGGGGCTGAGTGATACCTCCTGGTGCATGCGGTGCTGTCCTACACAAACCAGGTAAAGAAAAGTCAGTCTAGCTGCTTGGGAAGCTACTTGTCGTTCATGAAAAAAAGCTGGACCTCTTCAAGAATCATAAGAGCAGAAAAAATTCTTCTACTTTCTTTATGCAAATTTGAATAATAAGAAAAGAACAACTACAAAAGGTCTTTAGACCTCCTTAACAAATACTTTAAATATACCTCCGTAGAAAAGCACCTTAAAAATAAAATTAATCTCAAACAGAGAGTTTATCACCCTTTATTCACTCAACCAGTGAATAAAACTTAAAGAACTAGTTTGCTGCTGCTTTGTCATTCCAGGCTCATATCCTGAACTGACTCATTAAACCCCAGCAAGTATATTTATTTCCAAAAAGGCAGTCTTTTTATAATCTCTTTCCTTCTGCAAGAGATGTCAAGCCTCAATAGAGAATGCTTTCTCCTGCCTTGTCCTTCACAGTGATAGGCACTCACCTGCCTATCACCTGCGGCAGGGCTGCAGGGTGCTGGAATAGTCTGTGGTAGCAGGCCAGAGCCAGGCTGCTTGAAGGTTTGTAAGGTATTACCCTGCTAACGATGTAAAGGTGATCTTGATCTAAACAAGTGTGCTTTTTTCAGTATGAAATCATACGGATGTATGAACACAGCTAGCTAAATGAAACATCCAAGATGCTTTTATTCCAAGAGTCCGGAGATGCGAAGTGAAAAGGCTCATCAGCATGCCAGGCAGGGCTTTGAAGGGATGCCACATTTGCTTTGCCTAAATACTGAGCAAATGCTGTTGCCATGTGGTAATCTGATGTATGCAGCCACCTGTTAATAGATTAGAATTAAACCACAGGTTATTTCTGGTAAATTGTCATGAGGAGGCTTTACTGTGTTCTGGTTTCCATTTTCCCACAGCTTTCTTTACAGATTTCTTCACACTGGTGTGATGAGTGATGTCCATGTGACAGAACACCTGGCCAAGATTGGCATCCTGTTGGATTACAGTAGTGGGAGACTGTTGTTCTTCAATGCAGAGAGAGGACTTGTGCTGTTCAGCATGAGGCACAAATTCACCGATGCTGCTCACCCAGCCTTTGCCCTGGAGAAGGCAGGAGTGCTTACCCTGTGCACAGGAATGGAGCTGCCAGAGTTCGTGAAGCACAGCTGATATCCTTCTTCACACTTTCCGTAAAATTGACAATTATAGCATCAGAGGATAGAGAGGGGAAGAAGGGTGTCAGGAAGGGATGCCTAGTCCTCACTGATGAACAGTGTGTGCATGGCTCTCCCTCATATCATCAGTAATTGTAGCTAGTGCTCAGACGTAATCACCCAGAGCCTGGAAAGAAAATCAACTTCTTCAGATGGAGATGCACCCAGTGATACACACAGCAGTACTTCTAAGGGGATAAAGAAGTTTTGTTAGATATGATAGTGCTAGCTGTCTTTTTAAAGTTAATTATGAACCTGTGTATGAAATAAATGCATTTCTCACTGCAATATGTGAAAGTCATCATTTCATCATTTGCCAGGACAGTCAGAGCCTGAATCCAAGATGATGTGCTTAGAAAATGTATAAAAACTTCAACAACTGAAACATTCTGCAGGTTAACATATCTTGTGTTATTGTCTGCCAACTCTTTAAAGGCATAAATCAAGAAAACTTGGAGACTTAGAAGTCTGCATGTTTGCAAAATGATTGAGTCCCAAGCTAGTCTTCATATCAGCCATGTAAAGTTTGAGTATAGCACACCCACCTAAGCTGCTCATAGCAGACTAACATCTACCTGACAGTGTCAGTAAATATCTGTGCCTGTGAATAGCTACTCATGAAACACCTGTATGAGGAAAATTGATAGTAACAGTAAAAGTCTTCCCTTCTGGTTTTCATCCTCAGTTTGTTGGTTAAGTAGTTTTGATGGTGAAAGAATGTTTCTATTCAGGACCTTCTGGATCACCATTTTTCCAACACTGCTTTTTACCTTTGCTCTTACAAAAATGACGCTCCTAATTTCAGGCTTCTGTACCTTTTTCTGCATCTGCCCTGCTCTCTCTTGTTATCTGCCCTAGCACTAGCATCATGACAGTGAGGTGCAGTGTTTCAGGGCCATCAAAACAGGCAGGCTGAAACTGGTTGATATTAGCAAAGTAATAGGATGCTGATTTTGCCCGTTGGCTTTTTTGAACCATTTTTCCAAGCATTTCACACATCAGTATTATGGCTGTCTTCCCGCCTGTCCCAAGGGCTGAAGGCACAAATGCCAGTGGTGGTGAACTCCAGTGAGTGTTGAGGGGAAATTAATCTTAAACAGGCAGGCAATGCTTTTCGTGCTGTGCCTGCTTTGGAGATTTCTGCCTCAGGGGGTTGTGCTGCCAGACTCGTTTCTGAGCTCAGCTGAACTCCCTGAAGTAAAACAGATTTCAGGAGTCTAATAGAGAGAGTTTGTGTCTGAAAAGAGAAGCTAAATGAGTTAAAATGAAGCTTCTGCTTTTTATTGTCAGAAAAGGTGCTTGTTGCTGCTGGTTTATGTATGATTTAACACTATCAGGGCATGCGCTTGCTGCTCCAGCCTGCTGTATGCTTGGTGTCCTAGGGGAGCCACACTGTCCACTCTGTCATAGCAGGCACAGGCTTGCTGTTGACTTGGTTAAGTCAATATAAAGAAGATCCTGTGACCATTTATTTTAAGCCAGAGCTTTTTCTGGCATTTCAATTAAAGGGTGCCAGTTCTGAGTTCCTGCTGGAGAGAGTGGGGAGTGAAAAAGTAGGATTGTGCCCTGTTGGCTCAAGTGAGTGTTTTGTAGAGGTGTGGAGGATGGTGAGAAAACGTCCAGGATTAATTGAGAGAGAAATACAGAAAGAGTGTTGGGGGTAGCATTACTATGAAGGCTGAGGAGGAGAAGGCAACAGAAGGTAGGCTGGAAACTCACACAGAGCAGATGGTGATAAACTAAGAGGCAGATTAGTGGTGTCAGCAGGGTGTGTTCCTTAGGCTCCTGCAGCCAGTGAGCTCACTGAAGGTTTGGCTATCTCCAGAGCTTAACGTGGTACTTGGAAATAAGCCTGAAATATTCCAGTACTGGGATGATTTTACCTGTGTACTCCTCATCCTCATCACTGTCATCTCAACAGAAGGATTGCTTCACGGACACCAGCATGATATATCGACAAGGGGAGAGAGAGTGATAAAAGGAGAACAAAATTAAATTAAATCATTTGGATGTTTTTTTTCAGTGAAGGCAAGAAGTGATTGCCTTGTCAAAAGCAACTGCCTATTAGTAATTAGTAGATTTAAAACAAAAAGTGAAAGCTTTTTCTGCTGCCACACATTGCTACTCAGGTACTACTGTCAACATTTGAGCTTGGCAAAATGTTTTTATTGCAGGCACCTCATTCTTAGTAATATTTGATTAATTTCAAAAAATGGCCTGACTCTCTTTTCTTCCTAATTTTATATAAGATTCAGTTTTAGATTGGGCAGTATCAAAAACTATATTTACTCTTTATGTGAAAACTAAATAAGTTATTCTTAATTGGAAATGTCACTCAAAGAGCTTAAACAGTACTAATTTGAATGTCTAAATCTGGTCTGCATTAAACTATGCCAGATGAAGAAATGCCAGAGAGAATATCCTGTTCAGAGAGATGGAACAAAATGCACACCAAACACACACGTTAAGATTCAGCATAAGGAGAAATTTCATATTAATGGAGAAAGCAGACCCCAAAAGCCACAGCTGAGCTGCTAGGACTTACAGTAAATAGTGCAAATTCTCTTGCCCTTGGAAAGCTTAGAGGTACATCTGGTATCATCTTTTAGTTGCCTGATGGGCACGAAGTTCAGGAACTCACTTCCCAGAAGGCGACTGTCTTCAGACTCTTGAATGTATGGTGCAGTCCATATAACTTTGCATTCAGATGAACTGAGATTTTGAGGTTTGCTGCATCCATTTTTTTCTGACCATTGTAGCTTGTAACTATACAATAGAAAAAAGAGACAAAAACCTCCCAGTCACTGTATTTTTGTTGTGCTTGATTAATTTAGCATTTAGAAATACCTCGAAACTTGCAAAGGATGTCCCTTAGCTTGGCTGATAGGAACTAAGACTTCATGCAAATATTGATAGGCTTGTGTGGTATGTATACACAGTCCAGTCATCATTCCATACTTAGAGCAACATTTTAAAAGTTACACAAAGATTGTAAGAGTTCATCAGTAATCTGGTGTTTATTTCATTCTGAAAATAAAAAAGGCGATGCCTAATAATATAAATATTGTCAATAAATAATCGGATGGATCTGAAACACATTGCATTGAAAGGAACAATTTCCTCTCACTTCAGCAGGTTTTAGATTAGACTTGTAAACCCCTATGCACTGAGATGAGAATATAGGCTTGACTGTAAAAAGAGAAGCATTAATTTCTACTGTAAAATTAGTGCTGAACTGAAATTCTGCTAGTATCAGTGGTATTGATCCACAAACGTTGCTTAGGTCACTCTGCTCAAGAGAGAGTTTAGTGCTTCCATATGACATCAGGCAGGAGAATTCAGCAATGCAGCTGCAAAGTGCAGCACGTGTGATGTGTGTGCATGCAGGAACAACTCTGCTCTTGACCTAGCTGTTCTTTCAGTACCATGTTCTTTCACTTGACCATGCTGAAAACGGTCAAGTAATGCCTTATTTTAGAAACAGGTACATTAACCACACCACCATTGTTGAAAACTGTGTGCATGTTACCACTAAGTCTGTTATAAGACAGAGAATCAATAAGGCACAGTACCAATAAGTTGTTGCTAAATCCACACTGCTGTTATATTGTCTGTGGTATACATGTGAAATATTATTTCTATTAGCATTTCAGGGGCTCGAATAGGTATGTAAAGATGGAATTAAGGGTAATGCGAAGTTAGGATCTTTCGAATCATCTTCATTTCAGATTAACAAGTAGAATCTTTGGCATGTTGAGGTTTAAATTTGATTTGAAAAATCACATTCTGTGGTGTAATCACAATTGCATTACTGCTATTTTGCTGATAGGTTTACTAGCTATAGGGAACCCCAGTGTGCTCAGTCACAGAATCACTAAGAAATTGATAGCAACTCTTCCACTTCCAGCAACATGCTGTGCAAGAGATATTGAACTAGTGAAATACATACATTTTGCATGTTGAGCTTGTCCAATGCAAAGTAGCATTGCTGACCAGAGACCACTCTGCAGTGTGGTCAGCACTTCAGGAGGTCAGTTCCTGTTGTCAGTTCCTGCAGGAGGACAGTCTGGAAGGAAATGGAAAAAATGCTTTAGGATCATCTCGTTCCAACCCCCCTACCATGGGCAGGGACACCTTTCACAAAACCAGGTTGCTCAAGTCCCCATCCAGCCTGGCTTGGAACACTTCCAGGGATGGGGCATCCACAACATCTCTGTGCAACCTGTTCCAGTGCTTCACCCTCACAGTAAAGTATTTTTCCTAATATCTAATATAAACCTGCCCTCTTTCAGTTTGAAGTCATTCCCCCTTGTCCTGTCACTAAACGCCCTTGCGAAAAGTCCCTCTCCAGTTCTCTTGCAGGCCCCTTAAGGTACTGGAAGGTGTTATAAGGTCTCCTCAGAGCCTTCTCTTCTCCAGGCTGAACAAGCCCAACTCTCTCAGCTTTTCCTCAGAGGAGAGGTGCTCCAGCCCTCTGATCATCTCTGTGACCCTCCTCTGCACTTGTTCCGACAAATCTATGTCCTTCATAAGAAGGGGCCCCAAAGCTGGACACAGTACTCCAGCTGAGGTCTCATGAGACCTCAGGGGCAGAGTCCCCTTCCTTGACCTGCTGTCCAAGCTTTTCTTAAGGCAATCCAGGATGCAGTTAGCCTTTCGGGCACACATCATCAGACCTTGTTGAATTTCTTGTCCGCCAACAGCCCCAAGTCATTATCTTCAGGGCTGTTCTTAATTCATTCTCCACCCAGCCTGTACCTGTGCTTGGAATTGCCCCAACCCAGGTGCAGAACCTTGCTCTTGGCCTTGTTGAGCTTCATGAGGTTCCCACAAGTTCATCTCTCAAGATTTTCCAAGTCCCCTCTGGATTGCATCCCCTTCCTCCTGAGTGTCAAATGCACCACACAGCTTGGTGTTGGTAGCTAAAGTTCAAGTGAATTTCCCCTCTGGGGAAATCTGTGCAGAAACAATACCTTTCTTTTCAGGACTTGTGTTACAGACATACTGTATTTCTAATTCATACTCTT